ATTATCACCAAGATGATATTGATGCATTACCCAATTTGTTTTCTCAGGTTTTCTTTGCTTTCCATAGTTTGTGTAGAGTACAAGTATTTTCTTGTGTCCTTTCACTTTGCCTTTAACTACAACTGGCCTAGTCTTGCCTGTTTTGTGCCAACGAGTTTCATTCCCTTCTATATCTGTGTGTACTTTTCTTCTTTTTCTTGTACCTGTGGTATATGCTTTGGATGGTCTATGAAAAAAATGTCGGATTAAGCCATCTTGAGACACTCCTGCACCATAAAAAAAAAAATAATGGACAACAAATTGTCAACGTCAATAATCATATTTGAAATATTTGATTAGGATTTAAGTTATATACACTGACAGTATATATCAGTGTAACTTAACCTGTAATATATACCAAGTTAGTTACCAATTTATTTAGCTACATGTAAATAATTTATTACACTATGGGTGCATCAATATGCATAGAATTAATGCGAGTACATGAAAATGTATTCTTAAAGTAATCCATTCTTTTTGGCAACATTCTATAATAACGTAACCTCATTATTAGACCATATATGAAAACATAATCTTTGTTTAGTTGTGCCTCTGATAGAGCATTTTCAAAATTGTATTTCAGAATCTAAAAGAGTTTGAATAACATCAAATTTAAAATCAGTTCACAACAAGTAAATTAAGGGTATATATAGCTCATAATCCCAACTTGTTTGGGACTGGGACATAGTTATTATTGTTTTTATATATAGCTCAAAATCTTTTATCAACCATCTTGTTCTTGTACTATCCTCTCTATCTTTGACATAGTTAAAGTTTAAATCCACTTGAAATGTACAATCCATAGCCAAAAAAAGGCCAGCCGCTATTTGAATGACTAAACAAATACCAGGTTAATTTCTTGCATTGCATGTTCACACTAATTAAGCACATGAATCTTGATCCTAATGCAAAGGATTAGTAGAGTAAGTACCTGGTAATTTCTCTGGATGAGTATAGCAAATTCCATTTTCTCCCTCAAGTGTGTGAATGAACTCATCAATTAGAGGGTGAAGTTTCTGAGCATCCAATCTCACTTTTGCCTCAAGATGTTCAAGAAGCTCTTGATCACTTGGATCAAACTTCACCCCAGCAGGCAACCCTGGAAGATTGTGAATCCCAGCCTACTCTTTTCAACAAAAAAAAATCACAAAAATCCACAAGCAAAAAAATTAAAATCAATCGCGTTATAATAACCTAAAGTCAGACATCTCTATATAACAATCATTCACTACAAAAGCCAAACTTTTATCGGAACCGATTTTTATGTTATGTTATAATATTTGTTATCTATAACAGCACTTCACTATAGCAGCCAAAACATATTGGAACAAACGAAGCTGTTATAGAGAGGTTTGACTGTATAATCAAACAATTTAAAAAATATAACATTACTAACCTTTTCTTCAGATTTGATCAGATGACCACAAGAAGGACAAGTTCTTGTTTTGGTAGTATTTTTGGGGCTTTCATTGTTAACATTTGTTGGGATAGATTGCTCGTTGGCAGAGTCATTGATACAAATCATTTCTTTTGTTAAGAACATAAATTAGGAAAAACCCTTTTCACTATTGTTTTCTAACTATTCCAAAATATAACAAGATTTGTAGAAGGAGAGACAAAGGGTTAAAAGGAAAAAAGGAAAAAGTAACTTGTGTCCTTGAGGCATGTTCTCCCTCAAGCTAATTGCTCTTCAAAGTTGGGAAGGTATATTTAATCCTACTTTTTGCCACTTTGTAGTAGTCCTTAGCACACTTCAGTTCAATAGTACCTACTTGTTCTTCTTACTCCATCTTACACTTAAAAAGAAAGAGTTATGCTATACCTAATAGATTAAAGTTAAGGGTTGAAGAAAAGTTGAGCAATATAATTAGTACTTAGATGGAAAAAAAAGTGTTTGCTTGGAATTCACTTCTTCTTCAGCTTATTTAAGTAAGAATGCTTCATGTGGAATAAATGTATTTTCCGGATCTTTGTGCAACACCAAAAGCGTATATTTGAATTTTTTATTGTTAATTATTCAATAAACAAACCGGTCAGGATTCAACGCATACTTTTTCTAGCCAGTATACATAGATCATATATTGATTATATACACTTATACATATATTATGCATGAATTATATATATATATATATATATATCCGCCGGCTAGTTTTTGGTTTAAGAAATTATGTAGGCGGTTATTTGGGTTATTTTTGTTTATTTTTTCAGTAACCATAGAACATCTTAATAAAGACAGTTTAACATGTATTGTTAAAAATTAAATTTAAAAGATGGTGAAATTAAGTACTTGAGTGTAAATAGGGCAACCTAGTATCAGTTCCAATGTCGCCCTAGAGTGTACAAGAAGACAAACATTTAGGGTAGAAAAGAAAAGAAAAGAAAACTAGATGAACTTTAACATCCACCGATAATTTCATTGCTTCACTTAAACTTCTCATGCAATGCAAGAAACCTTGGCACACACAGAGACAGCCCTGGGGTTCTCATATTAGTACGTCTCAAGATTTCTATAAAATGGGATAGAAAGAATAATTAATAATATTTATTTTTCAGATTCTTAAAGAATTTGTATTATCTAGGAAGGTAGTTACGTTGAGCCTCGTTTGTTTCATTCACAAGTTTTATATAGGGTGTAAGAGTTTTGCGTTTTCTGGTTGCTGAATTTATATATATCCCAAATTGTCAAATCTAAAGTTGGTGGCTTTATACCAAACGGTCACAGAAATTTCGATCCAAGCTGCTATGCGAGCTGCATCGATCTCCTTTTCATTTTTGACTATTACTAGTAAATATATGTATAACAAAAAAATTAAAGGGAACATAAATGTAAGCCAATAGAAGCAACTGGCTAAAAAAAATTTAGTCAATGTTTAATTGAATAGAACGATTACAGTTAAGTAAATGTCGAAATTGTACATGTCTTTTAAGTACAATGCGAGACACGTCTAATCGTTGAAGTAACCAAGGTACTCATAGGCGGACTCAGAATTTGAAAGTGGCATGACCATTGTCGAATAAAATTTGAGCAAATACTAAAGTCGACATCGAACCTAGGCAGCGCACCAAAAGTCAAGTTGTGTCCCCTAAATCGACCAATGCAACTGTCTATAAACTTTAATCTTAAGATGGCAATCAAAATATACTTATTACTTAAAATATATATACATATATTTTTTTCGAAGTTACCGAGTGCTGGTGATCCCCCTACTCCGAAGGTAATGTGTTGGTCGTGCTATAATTAGAATAGCGTATCAAGTAATGGAGTTGATATTAGTATAACATGAGTACTGCAGTGAAATCATGATTGATGATCCAACAACCGGAGCTTTTTCTTTTGTGTTTTCTATTAGGAGTATGCAAACCTGGAGAAAGCTGGATTCTTGCAGTTATGGGAAACTAGATTCTTAAAGACTTCCCGTAAATATGGATTTCATAATCATTCAGAAGCCAAACTTTTGTAATCTTGAAGATTTTAGGCATGTGTTTAGAGCAATGACAATTCTCTACCTATATTCATCGAAAAAGCCAAAAAGAGGTACCAAAGTAAAAGAAAAGAAAACTTAAAAAGTCTTCAGTTAATCCCCACCCCCACCCCAAAACAGAAAGAATCTGTCTGGAGAGAAATAGAGATAAATATTTGGGGTGGGGNTAACTGAGTCTGCTGAGCTGATAACAAAACAAAGAAAAGCTCACTATCTGTATCTCTCCTTCACTTCCTAGCTAGGAAATCTACAGTTTTGAAGTAACAACCTAATAGTATCATTAGCTCTAACATGACAAGTATATGCTATTTCTCTAGCTATAGTTTCACTTGATCTCTCCTTCCAGACAAATATTATATTATTCCTCTCAATCCAAATTGCATAGACAAACTCTGCATACACCAGCTTCACAAGTCTTGCATGGTTTGTTTTCCCTTGTGTATGTTGCTCTATCCAGTGCTGCATATGGCTCCATGAACTCATTGCCGGCCAAACAATTTGTTACTAGTTCATTAGTTTACCCCACACTTGCCTGCCAATTGCACATTCAGCAAACAAATGATCCTTGCTTTCATCTACCAGTTTGCACATATTATAGTTGGTATCAACTTACATCCCCCAATTTTTCAACCTTGTTGTTGTGAGCAGAGGCGGACTCAGGATTTGAGCACGACGGGGCACCGCTGTATGCTAATCACTAGCGATAAAATTCGGTGTGCAACTCTTTGAAAACTTAACGATTATGATAACTTATCATCCAAGTATTATTAAAAAAAGTTCTAAAGAAAAAAAAAGCACCAAACATATATATATATA